GCCTGATGCCCTCTGCGTGTGTTCTGTCAGGATGGTCTGTGATGCTTTGAGAAAACAGATCCCACACCTTGCTTGTTGGCAACTCAAAATAAGTCACGCCTTCTTTCATCCTTCCTGCCCCTCGGCCCACATCCTCTAGAGAGTCCTACAGTCCCTTCTCTAAGAGATTTGAGTTTCCTAGAGGGACCCCTGGGGTGGCCCTTCCTGACCCAGGAAGCCATAAGAGGTGGGAAGGGCCAGGCTGGAGTTTGCCTCCCACATGCTGCCTGCTTCTCAAGCTCTCCCCAAGCCCAGAGGGTGCCCAGGCCAGCCTCGTGCTCACTCACCAATCGGGCCACCTTGGAAGCTGCGCCCCCTCGCCTGGGCTGCTGTGGCCAGCACAGCCCCCAGGGCCTGGCCTCTTTGTGGGGTTGCCCTAGGCTTTCCCAATAAGCAGCAGCAGGACACAGGCACGGCCAGCTTTGAAGGTTTTGGAAGGAGGGGGACACACAGTCGCTAGCAAGTTCAAGGAGGTTTGAGCTTCATTGAGCTTGGTTCCACATTCAGTGGAAGGACCCACAGTGGGCCCCCAGCTGCTTCTGAGTCCCTGGGCAGGGTTGCTGGGGCTGTCTCCTCCCCTGGGCAAGACTGCAGCTCCACCGAGGACTCGCACAGGTGTACAGTCAGTGGATTTCAGTGAGCACCTTGTGCATACAGGGGATGTACCTGCACAAAAGGCCAGTCCCTGCCCCGCAACAGCTCACAGTCTAGCAGGCACACCAGAGGGTGGGAGGCTGGGGAAAGTGCAGAAAGAGCAGACCAGGGAGCAGGGAAGGGCGTGTTGGAAGGCAGCAAATGGCAACCCACTTCTAAGTCCCTAGTGCCAGGCAGGTGCTCCATCCTGGGATCTAAGGCATGGCTCTCAACCGCTCGACCCATCTCTCACTCTCAGCTCGCATCTGAGCTTCCCACTGCCTGGGTGGCAGTTCCCACCCTACCTGTGTGGTGCATCAGTCCCCCCTCCCCCACATCCCACCTTGATGCTTTGGAGTCCCCGGCCCCACCCCCACCTGAGAAGGGACATTACCTGTCCTGGCAGGACGTGGATCCCTTTGAGGCTCCATTGGGCAAGGGTGCCAGCAGCTGATGGAATATTCCAGCGTGTCCCCTGCTCCCTTTGTTTCACAACACAAAGTGTCCCTTTGATGGACATTTAATTCCAGCGGCTGCTACCTGCTTCCTATCTTCCTTTGCTCAAAAAATTAAATGCGGATGTGCCCGTGCTCCTGCTATGATAATTTCCCCCCTGGTTTTCAGGGAGTGCGGCCGGCATGCAAGAGTATTAGAATCTTCAAAGAGGGACAATTATGGAGGGAACTAGATTAATGAGGTGTCATAACAACTTAGCCAGATCTGCGACTGACCTTTCTTGCAGAGAACGGGGCTTGATAAATGTAGTTCATTACCAAGTTCTGACATGAAAATAGGATCACACTCTGGGCTCCTCGCTGGCTGATCAATATTTTATCTGCCAAAGCAGGCCCAGACCGGGCACGAGGGATCCCACACGTATGCTGAAAGGGAGCCCAGGACCAGTGCCAGGGACTGGCAGGCCATCCCTGCTGTGCACAGGGCACCCAGGCTAGCAGGATGGCGCTGAGGACACTGTCAGTGTCAGATGGAGCAGGACACACAAGCCCCTCCCTGCGAGGCCACACGATGGGTGACAGGAGGGATGAAGGAAACCCGGGATGTGTGTGTACTTCTGTGGTCACTGAGCTGGCCACCTGCCTGCCCCAGGACAGGGAGGCACAGCAGGCCTTGCCCCTACTCCCTGGCTGACCACATGGACTTCTCTTGTGTCTTAAAGCTTCAGGGTGGTCAGGTAAGGCAGAATGGGCAGGGGAAGAAATGGAAGATGGAGCTCCATAAGAAACTTCCCAGGTGGCCCCTCACACCATCTCTGCAAGTCCAAGGTGGGCTTGTGTCCCTACTGCCCGTGGTAATGAGCGCTCCACCTGTGACCATTCTCGGCCTTGCTCCCATCACAGCCTTACTCTCTAGCCTTGCCGTTCTGCCTGGGGTCATCTCTGCTTACACCCGCTAGCCCCAGGCCTTCTGAGGGGCTGCCTTAGGAATGCAGAATGAGCCAGGGCCAGGCCAGCCTCAAGTGGAATGGGAGGTAGGGGAGCCTGATGCATGAGGTTGGATTCATGTATGTGTGAGCAGGGCCTAAAGAAAGCTGGGAGCAGGAGGGGTGACCCACACAAGTAGGAGGCCTGGGACTTGTGAGAGCCAGCTGTGTTCACAGAACAGAGCCTTAGGAGCATCGAGCACCAAGGGAACTGTGTTGCTGTTCTCCCCATAGGGCCTGGCCAAGTATGGATCACAGTGAACACTGAAGTCCCCTCCCATGTGACAGCACAAGTTCCTCTTTAGCTGGAAACCAGTGAAGGCACAACAGAATACATAGGCAGCCTTCCAGCTCTCTGCCCTGCCTGCTTAGGAAACAGCCTCCCACAGGTCCCCACCTGGCAGCCCCAGTGAGGCTCGACTGGGCACAGACCTCAGGGTTAATATGGAAGTATCTTACCTTCTCTCTGAAAGTCACGCCAGCCCTGCACCAGTGTCTGAGCAATGCCAGGCTGGGCCACAGTGGTCCTCCTGGGTGAGGATGGCCAGAGCCCTCCTTGTGTCCCTTCACCTGTTTTCCTAGCCCCTGGTTTGCCTCCTCATTCTGCCTTCTCCCCACCCTGCAGCCTCACCCTCAGCACTCCTTGCTGGATGCCTTCCTTTGCCCTGACTCTTCATCTACCCACTCCACATGGGTATCCAGGGTCAAGGACTAGGAGCTGCATCCTCTCCCCAGCAGCTGGCCTGTAAGTTGGAAACAATACCCGGTGACAGGAGCTCTGTCCCTGGAGCAGGCACTCACCACTGACCCATGCAGACTTCTAGGCATGTCCCTATCTTCCTGCTGTAGGATGTGCTGGGAGGGGCAGAACCTGTGCAAGCTGCCATGCCCCCACCCCACCCTTGCCCCAGCAGGAGCCACCTCCTTGCCTTCCCAGGACTGCCAGTGCTGGAGATGCCGTGGATGCCCAGGCAGCACAGGGTTCCATCACATGAGCCATCTCTGCCTCTCTGCCGGGTACTGGCCTTCATATGACTGTCCCCAGGACCCAGTGAGCCACTCAGGTTCATGAGTGTTAACATACCACAGCTGTTCTGTCTACCGGCTGTTGACCTAGCCCCAGAGGCGAGATGAGGGCTGTGTCCAGGCCTGGACCATACAGAGCTTCCACAGGATCACCACTCCTGTCCTGTATCAATGCCCTCCAGCCCATTTGCCAGGACTGGGTTTCACCCTTGTTATTAGGTCAGACAGCAGACCTGGGTGGGACTCTTCCTCTCCTTCCAGAAAACTGACCTCACAGACTGGAAGAATACCGCACCGCCAGCTGCCCCTCCTTGGGAGGAAGGGGTCCTGTGGTGGGCAGAACCTTGGTGTCAAACACCAAGTAGCTCTGCAGACCTGAGCGCCAGGCTGGCCAGCCACGCAGTGGCCCTCTGGATCTCCCAGGCACAGACTTGCTGCCAGCAAGGCACAGGTGCGAGAGCAGGGAGACTCCCAGAACAAATGAGTCTGATGATATTGAACTAGCAATTGATTTTTTTTTCCTGAATCAACATGTGAGAGGAAATGGTCATGGGTGTGAGTTTCTGACAGCAATCGATCAACCCCAAATTGACAGGAAATGGAGAAACATGAACAAGTACGAGAGGGAGTGGTTATACCTCCAGGAGGGTTTGGTATGGGAGACAGGGAGGCAGGAAACGAGAGGAACACACACATTCTCTCTCTCGCTCTGTGTGTGTGTGTGTGTGTGTGTGTGTGTGTGTGTGTGTGTGTGTGTGTGTGTGTTTCTCGCACGCGCACACGAGCTCTCATTCATTTCTTTCCCACAGCTCCCCCCAGTACTACCCCTCACAGTTGATTAAAGTCACGATGGTGGGGGAAATACCCTTTATGTGAATATCTGATTTAATTGGCATATTTTCACTTCACTGATGAGACTGCTGAGGCCCAAGTTCCACTCCAGCCAGGGAGTCTCAAAGCCTGCGCCCAGTCCATTGACTGTCTACCCACCAGGCATTACCTAGAAACTGCCCTTGGAAGTACGGGCCCCAGGCAGCTCTTGCCCAGCAACCCATTCATTGGCCTTCCACCCAGAATGGACAGCAAGAAGCCCACACTCACTCTCCAGGACCTGGAAGAGCCAGGCACAGGAAGTTCTTGTCCCCCAGGCCTACACTTCCCTACCCGCCCCACCCCACTGAGATCCCGCAGCAGCCCCAGTATATGGTTCTGCCCTGCTGGCGCTCATGCTGATGGCCGGCACGAGCAAGATAAACACTGTCATGCTGCCATGCATCACTGGCCTCATTTACCAAATACCGTGTGACCCACTGCTCCCCACTGAGCGCCAGGGGGCTTTGAGTCATGGGCTGTGGGACCCTCTCCTGTTACGCACGCCTCCCTAACGTCTTGGTGTCTTGACCGTAGGCTCCTGTACACTTGTTTGTTTTGAAGCCATCCAGCTCTGGGAATGTCCCTAATTAGCTTAAGTAGGACTTAATAGGCCTGTTCACTAAACCTCTCTAATCTATGAGACTAAGGATCCAAAAGCAGCCTGTAAGGTAGGATTAAAACAAGAACAAACTCTTACAACATGGAATGGGGCGGGCTGCACTGAAGCCTTCCTCCTCCGCCTGCTGCCCACCTGGCTCTGACTGCTGAGCCATCCCTCAGCAAACATTGCAGGTTGGGTAAATCCTCATGTTGGCACCACGGACAGTGTGTGTTGCATGCTCTGTAAACAACTGCAGGATGCACTGCTGGGCAGATGGACAAACAGGGGTCATACCTGGCCATGCTGTTCATGACTGAGCTGAGTGACTGGGCATTGGAGGGGCCTAAGGGCTGAGTCTCACTGCAGTCACTTTCTCTGCTTTTCCAGGCGACACATGCACCATGGCCAGCTATGCCCATCTGAAGGACATGCTCTTGGCGCTCCGGACCCGCCAGTGGCCACTGCACAGAGAAGACAGCAGCCACGACCCTGCCTCCCAGAGACGCTTGCTGGTGGAGTCTCTGTTCCGGGACCTGGACACAGATAACAATGGTCACCTCAGCAGCTCTGAACTGGCTGAGGTGGGTACAAGCTCAGGGGCAGTGGCCTTGTTAGGCAGCAGGGACACCAGGGAGAACATGGGAGTCCATGCGAGGACAGTCGTTTGTTCCCAGCAAGGGTGCTCCTCTCCTGCCAGCCCTTCCTCCGGGTGACCTATGCACCAGGCCTCAGGACATCTTGCAAACAGCAGGGTGTCGCTCCTTGCCCCCCAACCCCAGACTCCCTGAGCCACCTGCACAAATGGACTTAGAACCTCAGTGAGCTGGGGAAACAGCCTCCTCAGAGGGGCTGGTCCCTGCCAACTGCCTCCACCTAGCCCTCAGCTTTCCTCAAAGAAACAGAGCTTGCCTCCACCAGACTGTAGGCAGGGTCGTACTCTCTGCCCCGTGATGTCACCAGCCTTTGATATCCAAATGCCATCTGCTCAGGCCTGGCCTCTTGTTGTGTGTACCTCCTCCTCTTGTTTGATAAGAACCTGGCTTCGTGTTCCATGGTTTGCCTCCCTCCACACAAACATAGGTCTGGGCTCCACATATGCATTCCTCTGGCAGGAGTAGTGTCCCCAGTGTCCCAGGCAAAGAAAGTGCTGCCCTCCCCCAGGCCACAGCCCCTGCCAACCACAGGGACAGCTGACAGATCCTCCTGGCCCAGCGGCTTGACTCTGGGAGACCACTTGTCTTTCCCATTCCTTGCCTTCTCACCCTTGAGCCTCACAGTGTCCACGTGAGGCTGAGCAGGCTCTGACAGATAAGGTGCCTGACAAGACTCCGCCCCATTGAGGGCAGCGGTCCCTGTCACCATCGCTGGCAGCATCTCCTCTTAGCCAAGATTTCTTCCCAAAACTTTTTGGCTTCCCTTTACTGTGAGCGAGTCACTGTTGCCATCTCACATCCCAGATACTTGCAGAGCCTGGGGCTCTAAGAAACAGAGCCGCCTGCTGAGCTGTGGACACTGCCTCAGCTGTGAGAATGCGAAGCCTAGGTGGGTTGCTGTACCCTGCCTGTTCTCCTCCTGGCCCCAGGGACTCCCATGGGATGAATGACTCGCACCACATAGTCTTCTTGAAGTCTGTGAATTCAGCAGGTACACACAACCCATCCCAAGGTAGAAACACAGCCAGCCAGTCCCAAGCCTGCTTCCAGGGAGCTCTCTGTGCTCAACCAGCCCTGTGCTGCTTGTGCAAACCATGCAGCAAAGAAAGCTACCGTCCCTGCCCTGCTCGTGTGCCTAAGACTCCCACCAGGGGCCAAGGCCAGCTGGCCACAGGTTGAGCTGAGCTGCTCTGGTTCTATAGTCTCTGCTGCCTGTGGAAAGAAACACCTGACAATTCCCCCCAACTACAGGCTGGTCAGGGAGCAGCAGGGACAGAGGCAGCCATGAGCACTTGGTACCCAGGCCTACATGGCTCCCAGGTGGGTGCAGGTAAACACAACCCTACTGAGTGGGGATGTGGCCCGAGGTACCTAATGCCATTGACTAACACGGCCATTGTACTGCGATTTCCCCTTTAACGTCTTTGGGGTTGGCTTCATGCACAGGCCAAGTAGAGCCCTGCAAGTGTGGGCTTCTCCTTGACACTGATGCAGAGGCACTGGAGGAAAAACACGTCTGCCCTGTAGGAAATTCATCAATTTCTAACACAGAGAAGTAGGCAAAGGAAAACTTCCATCTTCAGAAGCTTGGTCTCAGGCGTGACACGTGGTCGCCCTTTGATCAGGCATCTTCCTTACTGGGTGAAGGATGTTTTTTTTTTTTTTTGACATTATTACATTAAATTGCCTCTAATGTAGCAGGCAAACTGAGAATGTTAAACAAAGAGAAAATGCCTCTGGCCCCTGCTTCCTCTTGAGAGGCCCCTCTTCTGGCTGAGCCTCTGTTCCAGATGCACCGGCCTGTGGCTCCAGCTCAGTGTGAGCGCCTGGAATCTCCACCCCAGGTTCCCTGTGGTCTCTGGCCAGTCATTCTGAGAAGGCCTTAGGTGTCCTGCAGCTCAGGCCATGTGTGACCCAAGAGGAGCTCACCAGAGCCTACCTGCAGCCCCCAGGCATCCTTGGCAGGACAGGCAGTGCCAGAGTTCAGGTCAAGGTCAGCAGAGCGGCAGCTGACCCTTGGGGTATGCCAAGGCCAGCAGGTGCTGCCCTGACAGTGGAAGGAGCCTGCAGGTGCAAGAGTGGGTACCCTGACAGGGCCATGAGTAGATGTGTATGCTTGGGTCCTTTCTCTCCTTCGTGGCCCCCACTGCAGCACGAAGGAGTAGACCCAGGTGGCCTTAAGAGTCACTGCTGTGTGACCATGGGGAAGTCACTTTCCCTCTCTGGGCCTCATTCTCTCCTCTTTAAGGTCAGGAGTTGCACAAGATAAGCCTAGAACCAGAGAGGCTCCCCAAGTCCCGTGGAGCTTCCCAGGGGTCTCTCCTGCGCCTGAATAATTTCCAGGCAGAACTGTGACTCTGGACTCACTCCCTGCTCTGCCCTTGTCCTCCTCCTCACCCCACAGCATGTGCTGAAGGAACAGGACCTGGACGGGGACCTGCTGGGCTGCTCACCTGGCGACCTGCTCCGATTCGAGGACTACGACAGCGATGGTTTCCTGACCCTGCACGAGTTCTCTGCAGCCTTCCGTAAGTCCCATGCCTGCGGGGAAGGGCTTGCTCACAGCTGCCGCCGCATCTGCAGTGACAAGGCCTGGGCTGTGCGCTTGAGTGTCACCCAGGGTGGCAGGTGGCAGTGATCAAATTTGTTCCACAGTGGGCCTGAGATGTAAGGAAAAAGAGGAAAAGAGAAGGGGTTTGGGGAGTTTCCTCCTCTGGAGGAGCCCAGGACTATGACCCCTGGGGGTTCTGGAACAATGCATGGAGGACAGGTGTTAGGAGGCTGTCCTAGCCCTAGGAGGGAGCCCTGCCTGAATGAGACTCTGCAAGATGGCCTGGGGACATGGTCAGGCTGGGGACAGGGAGCTGTGGTCACCCAGGGACCATGGGGAGGGAGGGTCCAGGTTGAAGAGGGGTGGGGGCCCTAGAGCAGCCCAGGAGGTTGGTGCTCTTGTGCGGATAGAGCAGGGGTGCAGAGAGGCCCTGTGTGGAGGCCCTAACGCCCTGTTTGTGCGTGGGCTGAGCACCCACAGCTTCCCCTAGGATGACTTTGCACGAACCACAGGTGGAGGTTGGACAAGGCCTCCAAGGCAGGTGTAGGGATGAGTGTAGGCAGACTGTAGGGATGAGCAGGAAGGGCAGAGTCAGGACCAGGCCAGACACTGAAGGGGATGTCCTTGACCCCCAGAAAATGTGAAGCCCCTTTACCTCCAAGGTCCTCAGATTCTGCCTAGAGCAAGTTGTGTGTATGTGTCCGCAACCCCGAGTCTGTGCCAGGAATGGGTGCTACAAGCTCAGGGTGCCAACTACAGTCCCCAGCACTGGAGAGCATGCACCCCGGCCTCAGGCCCACCTTTACAAGGAAGTGCGTGGCTCAGTGAGGTGTTCCTGCTTTGTAGCTGTGTCTCAGAGCTGTTGTTACTCAGCATATTCACTGGAAGGCCTCGGGGTCGCTGGCCAGAAGGGCTCCTGTGGCAAAGGGAAGTGGGACGTGCATGACGAGAAAGAGGGAAGCGAATGTGGTTCCTCCTGGTGGGAAGTGCCCCCTGAGTGTGGCATGGCTGAGAGCTTTGTGGTCAGAGTGTCCCTTGCACCAAGGACCAAAGCTCAGTGCCTGGCTGAAGGCTTGGCATCCCCTGACCGTGTACAGTCCACCCCCGCCCCGACCCTCCTTCTATCTGCTTTTACTATTTCATAGCACGGTGTGAATGATGGTACAGTCACTCACCCTGCAATGGGATCAGCTTGCTGTGGGGGCCAAGAGTTTTATTACCGGAAATACGTGTCTAAATGTTGTAGAATGTGCAGAAGTGGCCTCATCCTATTCCCTCCCCCAACACACACACACACACATACCCTGTACACCCTGCCCCCTAGCTCTACCCTTGGCTCTGACTTGGGATTGTGGCTATAGGGTGGCCTGGCACAGTCAGCTGCAGGAAGAACAGTGCCCTAAGTCAGGAGGGAAGAGAAAGTTTTGTGAGGACAGTTCAAGGCCTGCCCAGCAATGCTTTCTGGGACCAGCCCCATCAGCAAAAGGGGTTAGGGAGGGGAAAGCCTGAGCATTTTATTTAAATTAATTAATTTGAAAAGCAGAGCTAGAGAAATTCAGAAGGGGAGAGAGAGATCTTTTATCTGCTGCTGCTTCACTCCCCCTAATGGCTACAACAACCAGGGCTAAGCCAGGCCGAAAGGAGGAGCCGAGAGCTTCCTCCAGGTATCCCACGCAGGTGGCAGGAGCCTAAGCACTTGGGCCGCCCTCTGCTGCTTTCCCAGGCTATTATCAAGGAACTGAATCAGAAGTAGAGCAGCCAGGACTTAAAGCATATGGGATGCCAGTGCTAAAGATGATGGCTTAGCCCACAACACCCAGCGCCAGCCCCAGGCAGTGCATTTGAAGAGCCAAAGGCCATGATTGGACTTGTGGGGGGCTTGGGAGACCCCCAGACATCACTTCTTGTAGCCCCACAGTAGCATCATTCTGAGGAAAAGTGGGACCCCAGTCTGATGCCTGGCACTGCAGCTGCCCTGGTCCACCTGCTGGGTTCCTGGGAAGGAGGGAGTGTGCCTTTCCTGGAAGGAAATGCAAGGGTCCCCAAGGGCTGTGGAGAAAGAGCAGGCTGCCTGCACCCTGCCCCCCAATGGAGGCCATTATGCTGTGGAGCAGTGGGCACACATTCTCACCTCCAGCCGTTTGTCTCACACTGAATAGTACGTTGTCTGCGCCCTTCCTTCCCAGATTATTATTTGAAAAGCCTTATAATCATCATTCTTAGAGCAAATTAGATTCTACTGTCGCCTTGGACTTGTTTTGAACCAGGAGAGCCAAACCATTCATCACAACCCAATCCAAATAACAGATCTGCAACAGAGTGCAAACACACAGCCATGGAGGAAGCCATGAACTTAAGGGCTCAATGTGCAGGCTGTCAGAGCACACGAGGGTCAGTGGTGTTCCCAGCCACAGGGCCTAGAGGTTCCCATCACCCTAGGAATGAATTTATGGCTCAGCGCATTTTAAATAGGTTATTAACAAGAGACATACAGGTACAACATGGCATTAACAACCTCTCACTAAAACCCATACAGTAATACCTCAAACATCTCAACAACATCATTTTGGATTTAATTTTCAAAGCCAGAGATGACAGACTAGCTGGGGGTGAGACTTGGAAGGTTTATTTTCTAGCCTCTTTCTCATCAGTGTCCTTTGGCACAAGGTCTACAGGTGCCTTCTGAAGCTGTCATGGTTGCTCTGCCAAAGCAGGCTGGTTCTGGGGGTGTTAGCCCTGGAGAAAGAAATTGGAGTTACATGGTTCGGGGTGGGAGGGGCTCTCTTTTTTTTTTTTTTTAAAGATTTATTTTTATTATTTTTTCATTGGAAAGGCGGATATACAGAGAGGAGAGACGAGAGACAGAGAGGAAGATCTTCCGTCCGATGTTTCACTCCCCAAGTGAGCGCAACGGGCCGACACTATGCCGATCCGAAGCCAGGAGCCTCTTCCGGGTCTCCCACGCGGGTGCAGGGTCCCAAAGCTTTGGGCCGTCCTCGACTGCTTTCCCAGGCCACAGGCAGGGAGCTGGAAGGGAAGCAGGGCTGCCGGGATTAGAACCGGCGCCCATATGGGATCCCGGGCGTGAAAGGCGAGGACCTTTAACCACTTGCGCCACCGCGCCGGGCCCAGGGGCTCTCTTAAATCATGTCTTCCCAAGGAGCTGGCCTTCTCTGGGCCGGTGTGCACTGCAGTGTGCAGGTGCTGAGAGCAGGGGCAGGTCTGCAGCCAGTGGCCAGCTTGAGGAGCAGGTAGAGGGCAGGTGCACCGCGGGTCTCTCTCTCTGACCGTCAGGGGGCGCTAAGGCCCGTCATTGCCTACCTCCATTCCGTGACAGGAGTGACACTCTATTCCTCCACTTATCAGCCGTTGCATCCCAAAGCAAAAGCTGATCTAGGGTTTTCCCAGCCCCCGCCCTTGCTTCCCAAAAAGGAGCAGAGCCGCCTGACCCTGCAGAGACCCCAGGCCAGGGTTGCTCCTGAGCCAGGGGCACAGGGCCCTGCATGTGTATCCACGGCTAGTTCATCTCACAGACGCTCTTTTGAAAGGTTCCTCCATTATGTGTGGTTTTTACAGTTTTCCCAGTGCTCTGGGTTGGGATGCTAGGAAAAACATGTTGCTTAAATGAGGGTTTGGGTTTTTTTTCTCCACACTTGAAATTCAGTACGAGTTTCTCCTGCATTTTAGAAAGATGCTTGTCCTCTTAATTAATCCTGCGAGGTCAACCCCAGCTTCCGTGTTGGATGCAAAGGGAAGAGCTTGGGCAGCCGGCAGCCCCGGGCAGAGGAGGGCTTCACATATTAACATTCTGGGATCGCAAGCACAATGTGCCTATGCCCGAGGCACTGACCCACGGGAGCTGAATGCCCTCCCTGGCCTCCAGTGCTTGTAAACTCGTGCAGCCAGGCAGGTGGTGCTCTCATCTCCTGGCAGCCCAGCCTCCGCAGCCAGGGCACCACTGTGAGGAGAGAACAGTGCTTTGGGACGTGGGCGGTTCTGTGCCATCCCTGCCACAGCATGAAAGAACCACCAGCTTACCTTCTGCATCAGGAGCCTCTGCCGTGCACCTGGCCTTCCTGGAGCTCCGCGCCGGCATGGCAGCCTGAGCCAATGGTGGGCCTCCTCATCACCCAGATGCTTCAGGCCCTTGGGACCCGAAGCTGGGTGCAGACAGGGAGGTGACATTATAAGGACACTGTTGTTTCTAGCTCCTTTAAGGCTTCTGACTTTGGGCTCATGGACAGCAATCCTAACTGGATTGACTCGGCGGTGGAAGCTGGGCTCCTAGGTGCTGCTCTCCGTTACAGCTGAGGCCAAAACCCTCTACATCGGTCACTCTCCTAACCCCCCAGGAAGAAACTGGCCACCTCCTGCAGGATTTGCAGATGAAGTGGCCAACAGGACTCGCTGCCCTTGGTCTCTCATCGGCCGCGTTGGAGTGGGCTCCAGGGGAAGTGAGAGTTGGAATATGGCAGGTGTGAGTCTTGGCAACCCTCCTGAAGCTGCCTTGAGTTCAAGGGGAGAGAGAGAGGCTTCAGGAGACTGCCCTTGGTTGGCTGAGTTCTCCCGGGGCTGGAGCTCAAGGGCTGAGGGACGGTGCTGTCACTGTCACTGGAGTGAGCTGTGGGCTCCTCATACTCGGGTGGTGTGGAGTGAGGCCTGACTGGCAGCCTGTGTCACCATTGCATGCTGCACCCACTGGGACAGGAAGAAGACCCTCACTGTGCCCGGGCAGAGACTCACACCCTGGTTCAGCAATCTCCTCCTCCAGGAAGTCTTCCTCAATGTCTTCCCCTCTCCCAAGCCCACACAGCCTCTTCTGTGTGCCCATAACCCCAGGGTGGAAGCAAGACTGGGTGAGAACCACCAAGTCCAGGTTTGACCAAGGTTTGAATTCCTGTTCTGCATCTTAACTACTAGCTCTGTGACTCCGGACAGCTCCCCTGGATAAGCTGACTGCACGTGCCTCGCCTGTGT